CTTTCCCTGATTCTAATGCTTTTTTTAATCAGCTCTTTCTCAATCTGTTCTGTTCTACTTTACTTGTTTTATCTTTTAATATTAAGAAATCGGTCGGGTTACGACATCCCTCCCCCTTTGGAAAAAGAAAATTAACTATACGTGAATTTTCGTCTACATATTTTTTCGCTATACATTTTTCACATTTTACAATTGTTTTTTATATCTACTTTATTTTAGCATCGCAGTATTAATTATCGTGGTGTCGGTTTCTATCTCTACTGTTACATTTGATTCGCTTGCGGTGCCGTAGATGTGCTCTTGAATTATTTTCGGTTTGCACATCGGATTTATATTGAGGTTTCCCTGACGCATCGGCTTTCTTAGGGACTACCAATAACGGCGCGTTCCATTGGCTCGTGCTTGATCTGATTATTCCATTTTTTAACATTTCTCGGACTTGTCGATTTACTTCTTCTTTATGCTTCTTTGTGTTTATTACACTTGCGGGACATAGATAATTTTGTGGGTCGACCAAGCAGCTTCCTATAAATACTTCTGGTGCGGCTTCTTCTGCCTGAATGATACCTATCATATTTTCATTCGTAGCTACTTGTATTATTGTTTCACTACGGGGTTGCAATGTGGTTCTCTGATACGGATATAATTTCAAAGTATTCCGTCCGATTCTCAATTGTTTCTTCGAGTAATTGCAACTGTCTCCTTGTTTCTACAGGAAGTCTACTCCTAATATTCCGTCGTATTCGATCGAAAAATCATCTTTTACGACATACATTTTATGTTATTTTTTTATTTTTTTATTTTTTCCGGTCGCGTGAACATGCTTGGGCTCGAACCTGGGTCCTCCACCTCTCCAAACAGGGTCCTAGTATGCTGGGCTAGCTGAAAACTTATTAGAATAGAAGTTAAATGTAGTATTTGTGGAGACTAGTCCGCCGCTAAGATAGGGGTCCTGACGGTCCGATTGGTTCTCCCCATAGTGCCCAGTCCTCCGATTGGTTCCGTCAGTTCCGTCGATTTAAAGTGGGATGGAAAAACGTGCCAAAAAATAGTGCGTGGGAGAAAGCGGACAAGATGTCTGACGGAAAGCAAACGTGACGGCAACCGACAAAATGGCGACCGTCGAGACTGGAGATGTGTCTAGGCATAAGGCACCCAGCCTCACCTCCCCCTTACAGAAAACCGAAAGATATCGTGCGGTATACAACTTCGCCCCATCGCCCCCCTTAGAGGAAAACCGGGAGATGTACGCTATATGTCGCCCACCCTCTTCCACCCTTCCTGTTGAAAAGAGAAAAATTGGATAAAGTACCGCTAGAATAAACTTGATGCTATGAAGTGGTAACGAACACGTGCGTGCATGTACGGGTACGCTTGTCCGAGCGGGCGAGTCCCGCTGCACAGGTAGACATACGGTAACAGCATCGCTGGAGACGATAGAAAGGGTCTTGAAATATATACGGGTACCTGAGACTGTTTGACGCGGAGTCTTAGGGCAGAGGCTATGACGTCACAGAGACGCCGGGAAGAAAGGAAGGGAAGAAAAATATATTTTCACCCTGTTGCTTTAAAATAAAAAACATCTTTATTTATAAATCGAGGGAATATGATATTGTATAATATACAATGAAAAATTTACATATAATTAATTATTTATTTACAAAAAAATTATTTTCACCGCTGCGAAAAGTACACGAAATTATATTACATAATATAGCGATAAAAGAGATAGTCGAGAAAAATAGAAAAATAGCAGGAGATTAATTTTGAAATCTAGGATAGCCTTCTCGAAATCATTGTCCTCGGAAGACTGTGGAGAAAGAGTAGGTGTATCGCCGAGAACGATAGTAGATATTGAAGAAAATGAACGGGGGGAAAACGATGGTTCGGGAGAAGGACACTCAGAGTAATATACAGGAGAGTAGCTGGGAGGTGAATAAAGGGGTGAAAAATTAATAGGATTGTATGCGAGTGTACGTGTGCTTTGTATGTCTCGAATGTTATTGTTGGCCTCGGGTATTATTGCTGGAGAGTAGACAATTTGAATTTTCGTTTTCCGATTCCAGCGGCGGCCTCGATGGAAGGTGGTAGCTTGCAGCTCTTTCCTCGATCTGGTTTTCACTATAACGACAATACAATATTGCTTAATTATAAGAAGCTAAGCGTAAAATTAATATTAGAATAAAATAAATTAATGCTCACTTACTTTTTTATTAAAAGAATTGTTTCTGAGTTGAAATCCTCCGGGATGTCGATCCGCTGATTTTTGTGGATTAATGATGTTGCTAGTAGCTCAAGAGACGCTGTTGATTGTCGACGTTGGTTACTCGATATTACACCAATCTCACGAGCAAAGCACAAGTAAGACTTGCAGAATAATATACATCTTCAAGTTCTTCGGACTCTCTTTTTATAGTCTTTTCCGTAGGCGTATTCTAATTTTGAGAGTAACGATTCTCCAAAATTTTAACGAATTAGAGTTACGCAGAAGTGGGGATCTACTAGCTTTAGAGAATTAAAAGTAGACGCCTAGTGATTTTATTCCGTAATTTTTGAAATTAAACGGATTTAATTTTCTATCCCCATTAAACGCTTTATTTTTAACAAAACCGACTATTATCCTTTTCGGAGGTTGACCCAGTATTACATTATCTAACGATTCACCCACAACACCACTGTGAATCGTAAATGTTTTAACTTCGACTCTCGTGAGCGGATATTTGGCCGTAACTTAACTCAACATTCTAGCATGCGCGAGTAATAATCCGGCGCTTATTTTCGCCCTTCTCACGAGTAAGCTCGCATCCAGTATATGAATTTTCAACCGTTACTGTCCATAAGACAAAACGAATCTTTCGAACGAACGAGCCTTAAGCGTACTTCTACACCGTTAATTAAAAATTTATCTTGACTGAAAATGTCGCAATGGAGATGCCCTACAAGATCTAGCGCTCGACCGCCGTGAATGTAACGCGCGCGTCTCACGAGAGCGGAATTTGGCGATTTTGATTCCACCGGTTCGTCCATTTGACCGGGTGTATCCGCGTCCCATAGACAGGAGGTTAGATGGGAAGTTTTTGCGGGTGAAGAATAATTTAATAACGCCTCGATGTACGCGCGGTACGCGTAAGCGTTGTTTGGAGGCGACACGAGCATTTGATTGAAATACACGTCGATCTGATTGAACATGGAATGAAGTAAATGATTTACGGGGCCTATAGTGGCCGTGACGGCTGCGCCCGAAGTATGCCCCGTGGAATTGCCCGACGTTTCTACGCGTACGCGAAGACTTAACATGGTGTGCGTGAGATCTAAATATTCTTCTCCGTGACCCGGGATGACGAATTCTATCGGGGAATCGTCCGAGAGCGAAGTCACGGGTTTGTAATGAATCCATTGCGAACTCTCGATACTAGTTTGTGTGGGCGGTAAAGAAAAGAGATCGAGTTCGCTCTTTAAACACTCGCTCGAATGCGTGTGAAGAAAGGACATGCTTATTTACCGCAAATTTTTTTGTCGTCGCTGTAATTCTCACTGTTAGATGTGTTTAGAATATATGCCGTTTAAGAAAATATGTCGGATACGGTGCGCTTTCTAGCAGTTTTACGCCTTTTCGCGGATGTCTTAAGTCTTTTCACCGTTGTGCGCTTTTTTCTTCTCTTATTTTTCGATGTTTTTGTATTTGTTTTTTTTTTCCCTCGCGTCTGGCGCTTTGACGAACTTTTCTTACGCGCCTGGCGTCGTCTACGTAATGTCGCGGATTTAGCGATGCGCGTGTTGAGCCCGCCGAAAGGAAACTGAGCTACATGCATTTTAGCATCCG